ATCATACCAAAGACCTAGATCTGTTAAATTACCCATTTCTGAAATACAATGTGAAGCAGGTAGGAAGGACTTTTTTTGCAAAATAACAAGCAGCAGCAGCAGCATGCATTTTTCCAAATGCCACATAAGGAAACCCACCGATGGCCAGGTGGGGCAAGTGACACACACAGGGATGTGGTCGCCATTTTTCAGATTAGCCAGCACATCTGTAAGTCAAGTGCCTGCTTCACTTCCAAGCCATGCACAGTCTCACACAGAAAAACAAAGTCAGAATAAGGAGGGACACAGTTGTTACAGACACATAAAGTGCTTTCCCTGATATCCTGCTATGTGAAACAAGAAAGCCAGTGCTATTTTCATACCCCAATTAATGAAAGGCTGCCAACCAACTCTATGTGCTGAGAAACCAGTAGATGCATGATGAAAAGCTGCATTTTACAGAAATATGGGCACAAGTATGGTGTTGCTTAATGTGGTGTTACAGAAGCAGAAATGAGAAGTGTAAGGCATCCAAAGCCACTTGAAAAGAGGGCAGAAAAAGGAGGAAAGGTTTTCAACTGTGTACTGAACAGCAGGGTTTGTGGACCAGCCATAACTTTCAAGATGCCAACTGGAGGCAGAAAGGTACAGGTGATTCTTGGTTTACCATCAGGAACTAGACCTCATTTCCCAAGGCAAAGGGACATCTCTTCCTGTCACATATGGTGGTGACTGAAACTTTCTGGCTGTATGGGGAGAGGATTCTCTGAGCATTGGAAGCACTAAGAAAGCATTATTTGTTTATACAGAATATTAAAAATTATAAGTCTGCTAGAGAAGAGCAGGACAGGCAAGTAAGATGCAGAAGAGTTAACAGAATAAGGGGATACACTTAATTCCTTTCCTTGAGGAGTTATTTCTGACTCCAGTGGAACCTCAGCATCTCTATTTCAGGGCCTCAGACATGAAAACTCAGTGAAGACTCATCCAAAGACTGACACAAACAGCTACTCTTAGCATCAGAGAATTGTTCACGTTTCAGTTCCCTTTTTAATGTGTAGCATACTGGACACTAAGCACACCATGACACTGTTACAGGATGTCTATCCCACTTACATAGTCACTGGCAGTTCTAGGGGAGAAAAGGCTTCACCAGTCACTATACTTTATGTCCAGCCTTACTGATACTACAAGTCCTAAAATAATAATTTACATACTGTGCAGTCACCTAAATACTTGATCTTGTTCTTCAGAAATCCTGAAAACAGAACTGTGTTTGTCTCAAAATAATTTAAATGAGTTAGCAGAGAATATCTTTGAGAGGATAATTTGCTAACACACATATTTTTAAAGTGCATTTTTTCCTTCAGATTTAATAGGTTTATGTTTCAGCAAAGGAGTCCTTTATAGTCTATAGAACTGGAGATACAACGCTGCATGAGCTTAGTGAACAAATTATGGTTACATTGAAAAGATTTATGGTGTTTGTTCTCTAAAACTATTCTGCTGCTGTTTCAGCTTTTCATTACATACACATATGTACAGCACCAATATATTTTAAGCCTGAGCTTTGCATCCCTATCCCCATATATATGAGAAACAGAGCAGCTGAAACAAACTTTTGCATGCCAGAGTCACCAAGTAACATTTGCTGGAATCTGGAATGTGACAGAGCCTCAGGGGTCTGGCCAAAATCCAGCCCTGCAGTGCCCTCAGGTGATGCCTGTGCCAGAGCCAGCACCAGGGCATAAGGCTTCTGCTCTGCCCACTGCATACAGTCCAAATGGATCGTCACCAGCTTGTTCACAGTCAGAGAAAATGCACCAAGGTGAGGTTTTCTGCTAAGTCTTATATACATAGAAAGGCAAAAGCTAAAGTGAAGAGGAAGATGTGTGTGTACAACAGCACTTGCTGCCTGTGCCTAATGCATGTTCCATACATCCTACATCTCCAGGTACAAGGCTGCTGCTGGCAAAACCACTACAGGTGTGAGGCAAGGTGCAAGAATGGGTTTTGAAAAAGTTCTGATGTAGCTTGAGAATAAAAATCAGAGTAAGACAAGAGCAATTATATTTACTAGCCTCTTACGTGGCTGTCTGACTTCCCATTCCAGCATCTCAAAAAATATCTACATTGCCTACATTTAATTAAATAACTTTAATTCTGAAGAGTGGGACAAGTTTATACAGCACAGGAAAATTCTGTTCATTACCTGCTTTGAATATGGCTTGCTTATTATCAGCATATATGAATATATATATATATATGAATAAGAAACATTACTACACTTGTTACAAAAACATACTGTAAGTTAGCACAATTCATTTTTAAAAGCCTCTCTTGATTAGCACTACCACACCTTCATAGAATATCATGAAGAATGAAGAAATGAATTTTTGTTTTCAAGTTACACCTAGCAAGCATAATTACTCTGATAAATTAATTACAGAATGTTTCCCAAAATGTGTATATGTAATTTTGAAATACGCTTAAAGTCTTAAGCAGTGTTTCTTCTGAGGGTTTTGGGGTAAACTTCAGCATACCATCAGCAATGTTGGTACATAAATCCAAGGAGATACACAGAGTAAACTGAACAAAAGGGACCCAGATCCAAGATATTTGCCTGCCCGCAGTAATAAGAAAAATAGACACTTCCCAGAAAACATACTGACTGTGCTATGTGGTCACCACACAGCGCCAAATATTTGCTCCCCAAGAAGCATAGTAATTTAAGAAAGACAAGCTAATCAGCTCTAGAAAGGCTTCAAAGAAAAGGGCAGGACATGAAAATACAAAAAAGAAAGATAATGAAATTTAGCTACTTCAAGTTAATTCTTAGAAACTGCATTTGAAGAGATCTACACAGAGCAGAAAATCACATTAATTCCTAATATAATATGGCTGTCTGGGGCTCTGACATGGCAACTGAATGCTCTGCCACTTTTCTGGCATGGCACTGGGAATAGGGAAAGTATTTCTTAGATCTCTGAAGCTTTGGCAAGAACACTGGTATCATTAATCAATATGCAAAGTGGATAGCTGTGCAAAACCAAACAAGAACGACCCTAAGAAAAAATCATTGAACATTTACAGGCAAGAAGCAGGCGTTTTACCAGAAAAAGAGGCAAAGACAATTTCTCAGCTTGCCCCTCTCAAGCAGCTTAGTAGCAGCATATGAACAGTAGCACTGTTTAAACAGCCACCCTGACGAAAAACTTCACAGTTTTTCTGCAGGTCAGCACTGCAGAACTCTCCCTTTCCCTGAAACCAAAACCACCTCATTTACGTGCTCACCAAGTAAAACTGTCATATGAAAAATTACGTAATTGAAAAATTCAATTAAAATTTTTACTAAAAATAAAACCAAACAATAAAAATCTTGCCAAGGTCCCCAGTGATGTGGCTGACCAGGCTAGTCCTGCTACCACAGCAGCCAATCTTCCAGTAACATTTTCTCTCAGACTGGCAGGGGACGCTGTTTCTGGAAATGATCTTTGTGCTTTGGGGAGACCACTGGGCAAGAAAAATGCATGATTGATCATCTAACAACATTTTTAGTTGCTGGTGACAAGGTATGTGTTACTTAGTATGTTTATTACTAACACGCATCTAAAATCTCACCTGAAAACTGTCTTGCTAACCACCACATTTACTAACTTTCTGCAAGTGGAAGATTAATTTACAGAATACCAAAAGGTTACATCTTAGCAACTGAGAATTTCTCTGAGAATCCATACAAGAAGTTACAATCAATTTTTGGTCAACAACCTGAACTGCCAGACCCTGAATGAGCAGTTGCAGAACCCGCTTCAGGAGAGGGACCGGCTCAGAAGGTCTCCCCTCTGTTCTTGCCCTCAGTTCTGGGTTCAGTTGCAACAGCTGTTTTTCTCCTTCCTAGTAGCTGATGCAGTGCTGTGTTTTGGCTTTAGTCTAAGAACAATGCTGGTAACACATGGATGTTTTAGTTTTGCTCAGTAGCACTTACCCTGATCAAGGACTTTTCAGTCTCATGCTCTGACAGTGAGGAGGGGCACAAGAAGCTGGGAGGAAGCAGAGACAGGACACTTCACCCAAACTAGCCAAAGGGGTATTCCATACCACAGCACATCATGCCCAGTATATAAACTGGGGGGTTACCCAGAAGGGACCGATTGCTGCTCTGGTCAGGCTGGGTATTGGTTTGTGGGTGCTGAGCAATTGCATTGGGCCTCACTTGTGTTTATTGGTTTTTTTCCCTTTTTAGTTTTATATTCTCTTCCCTTGTTATTTCCCTTATAATTATTATTAGTAATAGTAGTAGTTCTGTATTATACTTTAGTTACTGAACTGCTCTTATGTCAACCCATGGGGTTTACATTCTTTCAGTTCTCCTCCCCATCCCACCCGGGGGGAGGGGAAAAAAAGGGGGTGTGAGTGAACGGCTGCGACAAGCAAGGATGTCTGCGCTGAAGAGAGGCAGAACAGACAGGGGGCAGAAATCTTCCCACACAGAAAGGAATGAGACTGCTTCCTGGATTATGAGCACTGATTACCTTCCTACCCTGCAGCACTTTTCAGCAAACTTTTTATTGTTACACACTTCCTAATCTTCCACACTTCTGATCTTCCTTATGTCTTTAGTCCTCAGACTGTTTGGAAGTTTTTTTCTGCTTTCTTTGTTTACAGTAAGAAACCATTGTATTCCCTCTTTATTTCACTCCCTTTTCCCCCTGCTCCCCTTAACTTCTTACATGCTTTTAGGAATACAAAATATATGGGAAAGTTGGAAAGTTGACAAGAGTCACTCTGATATTACTTCTAAATTTCTACCAGCAAAAATGATGTCTTTCCATATGGGATATGACTGAAATAATGGTATTGAAGTGGTATAAATAAATGGCTATTTCATCATAGTTCCATACCCATCATTACACACTTCCATCTGCTTTCTGTTTATCTTTCTTTTCAGACATTGATATTAGTATTGTCGCAGACAAATCCTCATGCATACAGAAAAACAAGGGATTAAATAAAGTACTAACCTTCACTGACAGGACTTGCACAGTCTTCAAGGTTCAACAATATATTTTCATCTCTGTCATCTGCGCTTGCTCCCAGAAGCATCCAGCTCTCGACATTATCACTTTCAGATGCCAAACTCTCCTCCTCTGAGCTATCATCTATCACCAGCACTTCTTGGATGGCATGAGCTCCAGCAGAACTAACCGGGTTATGCTTCCCACTAGTGCTTTTCATTTGCCTTGAAATGTCTATGCCTGACCCAGCAGGATACAGGGTATTACATCCAGCAGCTTTGGCGTGATACGGCGTGGAAGATCTTGAATGCATATGTATTTTGCCTTGAGCTACAAAGCTTCTTGACTTCATTGCTTTGCTTTTGTAAACACTGTCTTCATCTGATGTATCAGACAAGACAATGATCTCAGAGTCATCTGAAACTTGAATACAAGGCACAGACTCAGTGATGTTCTTGTTTGCATGCTGTTTCTCAGTTAGAACTGAACTATGACCAGTAACTCCTGAAAAGCCTGAAACTTCAGCTTCCTCATCCATTTCCATCATGCCAGTTTCCTCAAGATTCTGGGAATAATGGACCTGGCTGTAGAGATGAAATTCCACCTCACTGTCAATGCCATCACTGGATGACTCCTCGTGATAAAGTTCATCTTCATACATTTTAATAGCCTCAGCATCTTCATCTCCAACAAACATTCTGGAAAGTGAATAGTCTGTATCCACAAAAATCACAAAGGTTATATCAGAATGGTCACAAATATATGCCCAAAACCATATTTCAAATGATACCTTTCTGAAATTGCTATACTTAGTCACAGAGTTCTGCATACAGAACATAAAACTGAGCAGATTTAACAGCTACAACAATCAATGCTCAAATTCATAATAGCAAAAGCTACTTAAGGGTGCATCTGCTTTAAACTCAATGACTTTGTCTTCTGAAAGTTGCCCTTAACATGCTCTCAGCTTCCAGAGGTCCCCTCCGTCCTGTGTTCAAAACTAAGGTACCTGCATGGACTGGGAGCCAAATGAGTGTCTGAACCAGAATTTTGATTGTTCCACCAACCCACCAACTACTATTAATTCTGGGTACTTCACAACTCTGTAACTTACTTACTTTGTAAGTAAGGTCTTATACACGTACCTGAAAGACAGTGAAGGAACAGTCAGCAGTATTTGACAGAAGCAACTTGGAGCCTATCTACCCCTGGGCTGTGGATTCACACGTGTACTTCAGGATTTATTCCTATGATGAGAAGTGCTAGGGCTATGATACAGAAACACCCAGACACACTCTACGTAAGCTCAGGTCTGAATATAGCATAAAGAAAAAAAAAAAAGGATAGTAAAGATAGTATGGAAATCTGCAGCCTTCGTACAAACTACCATGTCACGCTGTCCCATCATGACTTAAGAACTGAGTTACAATGCCACGAAAATGCAATTACAATGCTTCTAGAACTGGGGAAAGTATACCTGCAAACAGCATTAGCTATGACATCTCTGTGCTGCTACCAGTTAAACAATAATTATCTAGAACTTTTAAAGGCCCTGGTGCATCTAGGACTAAAGTCGCAGTTTCCCTGCTCAGGTACGCAGCAAGACCAATTTTTAAACACATGCACTTTAAGAGCTGGCTGATGGGACAAAGTTTACCCTCAGCAAGTTTGCAGATGATGCAAAACTGTGAGGAGCAGCTGATGCACCAGATGGTTGTGCTGCCATTCAGAGGTTCCTCAGAAGGCTGGCGAGGTGAGCAGAGAGGGTCCTCATGGAGGCCAACAAAGGTAAGTGTAAAGTCGTATGAACTGCTGCCTGGAGAGCAGGTTTGTAAAAAAAAGACCTGGAGATGGGGCAAGTTGACAGAAGCCAGTACATTTCTGGGACAAAAAGCATCCTGTGCCCTTGAAGAACATTGCAATCAGGATGAGGGAGGTTATCTTGGGTGATACGATTTAGCGTAAGGTGTCCCTGCCCACGGCAGGGGGGGTTGGAACTAGATGATCTTAAGGTCCTTTCCAACCCTAACGATTCTATGATTCTATGATCTTTCTGCCCTAGTCAGCGCTCGTGAGATCACATCTGAAGTGCTGTGTACAGCTCTGGGCTCTCCAGTGCTAGAAAAGATGGACATACTGGAGTGTGGCAAGGGACTACTAAAATCATCAAGAGACTGGACAATCAGTCATACGAGGCCATGCTGAGCCTGCTGGGACTGTTCAACTGTTCATCCTCAAGAAGAGGAGGCTCAGGAGGATCTTATCAATGTATATAAATACCTGGGGAGGGGGGGTAAATAAGACAGAGCCAGGGCCTTCTGAGCAGTGTCTAGTAACATGATGAAAGGCAACAAAAAAAAAAAAAAAAAAAAAGGAAATTCCATTTACACAGAAGAAAAACCCTTTTAACTCTGCTGCACAAGAAGGCTGTGGAGCCTCTGCCCTTGAAGATGTTCAAAACTCAGCTGGATATGGCCTTCAACACTCAGCTCCAGGTCACCTTGCTTTGAGTCAAAGGGGTTGGATGAGACAACTGCTAGAGGTTCCTTCCAACCTCAGCTATTCTGCGACCACAACCAAATGGTGAATATCTCTTAAGAGTTCACTACCTGCTCCCTAGCAAGAAAGGTAATCCAAGGACATTCTAAAGTTACTTTGTCTAATTCACAGGATACCTTATTTCATTTACATAATCATATCATGCATGGAGGAGGCAAAAAGAAAGATTTTCTCTGAGAAGTCTATCTTTATTTCTGTATTACAGTTACTCCTAGGGAAGCCAACAAGCTTTTTTAGAAGGAAAGCTATCAGATGGAAGTTCAGTTTTTTAGTTGTGGAAGTAAGTTCCATGGTATTGTTTAAATTCACATACTGATACACAAGTACAAAGATCCAGATTCAGGAACTTTGTATAGAAGTAACTTGTGTGATGATGGTATTTAAAGAACCCAGAAGCTGTTATTGACAGCTTTCTGTGCACACCCTGCAAAAGGCCTTCCCTGGTCTTGATAAATTTGACGTCATTTGTATTTCTGTCATACCAGAAGTCAGACTAAAGAGGAAAACACTTCTCCCAAGAAAATAAACAAAGCAAACCCACATAAAACATGAGCATGCAAGCACGAAAATACAATGCTTACAGACCATCCATATGCTGTACTCTTTTCTGTTTAGGCTTCCAGTAGGTCAGCAAACCTCATTCAATCTCACCTGCCCAGCTAAAGAAGCCACTCTGGTAATCACTGGTTTGAGACCATATCTAAAGATCATCAGAACACTAGTCATCCACGCACATGCTTAGCTCTTCTATCTCCTAATACACTCAAACTGGTTTCTAAACTACAAATAAGTCCTAAAAGTGGAGGTTACAGAATCTGTTTTAAAAGCTCTCCTATCCACAGAGCAACTGTAACATGGAAAGTTTTGCACCTGCCAACATAGAATTCAGCAATAACATAGGGATAAAGTGGATATATCTTTATTTGCGAGACTCTTTTCCAGAGTTTTTATTTGTTCTTAGATAAATATAATATCTATTATGCCAAATAAAATATGAAAGAATGAGGTCAGAACTTTATGGTAATAGACACAAAGAACCTATTTTATACTAGTTCTTAGGTTTAGACAGTGTAGATAGGAGGAAAAGGTAAAACACTGGTCAGACGAATGACTGTAGATAGTTTAAAAAAAAAAAACAGGACAGAAAAGCATCTGACAGACCAAAGCACCCATATTTAAAAATTTCTCTCAACTTTAGGTGGGATTACTCATTCAAGCAGGTCTTGGTCTATTCCCACCCATGGGGTGAGAATAAAAGGAGAGATGGCTCCAATCAAACACATTTACAAAGGAAAAAGAGAGAAAAGAGACCTTTAGTAATGTAGGAATTTAAAGAATCCCCCTGAAGCATTCTGCAGTTTCAGTGATACTCAAAAAGCCAAGGTCATTTAAGCACTCCTTCCTTACCATTCTGTCACCCACTGGATAAAGTTACACAAAGTAGGTACATGACAATGGCTGAAAACATGCAGCTAAACAAGACTGCTGGATCAGGAGTGTCAAAGAGCCCCGGAGGAGCTGACTCACAGACACTTCACAGCAAAGACAAGAGTAAGAGGAGGCAGCATGGCACTACACTCACTTTGATCTATCCTCTCCAGAAGCTCAGGTCAAACAATGGCTCCTCCTGTCAGGTCCATGTACATCTGGAATGATGAAGGGCTCCTCCTCTTGCTCAATAGGTATAGCAGGCCACTGGAAACAGGAACAATCAAACCATCAGCATCACAACACAGTCTGTTGAGAGAGTTCCGCTATTCACTAACCTCAGATCTGGGCAACAGCTATTCCCTCCCTCTTCATCACAGAGTGAGAAACACCTTTTTCAGGTGTCTGGCATTAAAGCAGAGAAAAACACTGCCTCTAGGAAAGGACGAGGAGCTTGACAGACAAAGTTTTGCTGTTTTCAGACTGTCAAACTGATACAGTCCCTTACTGTACTCCTGCTGATACTCAGAGAGAGAAAGATGTATGTGACTGTCAGTCCTCAGCAATTTAGATTTCCTTTCACCAGTGAAAGGCTTAGACTATGGGCAATTGCCATCTTTGCTACTAGCCAGATTATAGCAAAGACATCCCTCGTATCTGAGTGTTAAAACCACATTAAAAGTAATAGTCCTGAACAGACTAGCCAATCTGATAGGTAATACAGGCTGCTAGGAGCGTAACAAACTGATGCATCATAGTTTGGAATTGGCCTGCCTTACTTTCAAACAAGTCCCAGAATTTCAAATCCTAGGTGATGGGAAACCCACATCCCTTCATCAAGAGAAATCTCACTCCTATCTGAACCCAGAGCACAACTTTCCTCAAATGTACCTGACTGTCTCTCTGGTAGGCCATAAGTAAGAACAGTTTAGATAAAGAGCTACTGTTGTTAAAACAAAAGAAAAAAAACACAGCTACCTGAGTTTCTTTTAACCATTTCTGAACAAAACTCCATATGGCTACAGGTGGAAATGGCAGGAGATAATTTTCCCAGGTCATATACAAAGACAGCTTGCAGCACTTCTCATTTAGTCCCTTAAAAGAACAATATCCCACACTTGGATAAAATAACCAAAGTTGGCAAAAGCACAAGGCAATCAGAAGGAAGGTGTGGATGGCAACTTGCAGGCAGGGAGAAAAGCACACAGACAAGTTAATCAGTACAGTAATTTACAAGTTGCATGTGGGCAGCTACATCCTCAACCAAAACCTCAGTGCAGTTTGGGACACTCATATGTAACCCACATACAGAAGGCATAAGAGGCAGTGAGATGCCCAGGCCAGTCTTTCCCATGCCATTCCTGCTTCACAAACTTGTTTCTCCCTTCTCACTCCTCTTTGCTGCTGCTTAACTTCTCTGCTTCTGCTGACGTTATTTTTCAACTCTTAAGATCTGCCAGAGCTTAAAAGAAAAAATCTCAAACAAACAAAGAACGAGTAGCAAAAAAATATTACTTTTTCATCCTTTGCAAATTTGACTTTTCAGACAAGAGTACTATTCCCATCACAAGTCATCAGTGAATTCCAAATATTTCTCATTTTTCTTGCTCTCTGCTTGATCTTTGCAGTAATGTAAAATCTAACACTTCATGACATAGGTTACATAGAAAATACAGTAACAAATATATTCTCTCCTGTCTTAGGAGGTAAAAAGACAAACAGAACCCTACCATCAGACTTCATAACGGACAGGAACAACAGTAAAATGGAAAAGAAAGCCTTTTTAAAGGAATTGCCATCAGCTTCCTAAACCCACAAGCATCTACCAGAGCAGAGGTTCACACACCAGAACAGCAGGACACATCAACAGACTTCAGAGCAGTGTGCAGACTAGACCTTTTCTCTTTACATTAACTGCCCGGTGCTTCAGACTGTTAGAATACTGCACAGGTTCAACTAACATGAAATTGATAAAGAACTTCAATGTTCAAATGCAGTTAAAAGAAATCTTTCGTGTCAGCTACTGTAACTGCTTTTGCACTCTTCGTCAGAAGTGGCATACTTCACTTTGTGAGAGACAAGCAATCAAAACTATTAATTGTTATGAAGCACAGCACCAAAATGAAAAATCACATCTTTGTTCTTCTTGTTACCATAGGAACATGCCCAAATGTCAAATCTGAATGCATTAAAAAAAAAAAACACACAACAATGTATGTTCATTATCAAAGGTCAGTGTCAAGAGACAGTTTTTGCCTTCACCTGTGTTGAGTTTCTGTAGGGAACTCAAAGCATATGAGAAAGTAGCAGTTTCCATGTGCCACCCGAGGTCAGATACACAGTCACTAGAAACCTAGAGCTACTCGGGGCACTTATGTGCTCTACCTAGAGCATCACTCTCACAGTGAAACATTTTAACATGTCATGAAGATTCAGGGCAGGCACACCCTCGGTTTTCACACAGAAAACCCTGACAAGTATGTACAGTAACTATCACCTCAGCTTCAAGTAACCAGAAAAAGGCAAGGAGCACCATAAAGCTAATCTAATGGTGACATTTGCCGCTAGTTAATATTGGTTAAACTTTGTGTCGTGGTTTAAACCCAGCCAGACAGCTCGTTCACTCACTCCCCCCCTTTCCTCCCTCTTTCTCACTCCCCCCCCCCCCCCCCCCCCCCCCCCCCTTTTCCGCTCCCGGAGGGATGGGGAGGAGAATCGAAACACAACGCTGCACCGAGCTACCAAGAAGGAGAAAAACTGACTGCTACTTCTAAACCCAGGACACTTTGTTACTTGTTTCTTCCAAGGATAACTTGTGTTGTTCTAAACTGACACACAAAACTCATTTTCATGTCAAATTGCTGTCTGCTTGAGAAAATGTTTCTTTTTTGTACTCTCTTTAAATAAAGAGCAAGTAAGTGTAAACGAAAGCAAAACTTCGAAGAGGTTAATGTTTTTCTAGTGACAAGCTATACCTTCAGGAGATCACGGGAAAAAATCTTCTACACCCAAACCCTGGAAAATAACAAAATATTGCAAGTTTATTTCAAGCATTTTGGGACGTTTTCTCCCCTTTAGCGATTTTAACGGTAGCTGTGCAAACATCCTCAAGTTAACAAGTTCGCTTTTCCATAGACCAGCACCGAGTTTAGTCTGGTGACCAGGACGCAGCTGTGCCAGCGGAAAACACCGACCCCGAGTACCCGGAACTACGAGCGGGACAAAACGAGGACCCGGCTCACGCCGCTGCCGTTCTGCCCCAAACAGGTCGGAGCGGCACCGTTCTGCTGTCGGGTGCAGGGCCTCCGCCCGCCACCGAGGGCCGGCACACGCTATACCGAAGAGACACGACACTAACGCAGTGGCTCACACATATCTTTAATAGCACGGAGGTTCCGGACACCGAGCCGAGCCGAGCAGGCGGGCGGGCACGGCTCTGCACCACGCGGAGAGGCGGAACCAGCGGCGACACAGGCCGCGGGTAGGCCGCATTGGCGGCGGGACTGGCACTGTGCTGAGAGAGGCGGCAGGAGCGGAGCGGCCCTCACAGGAGCGCGGCGCGGGCGGGCTCGGCAGGCGCACGGGCAGCAACACTCCCGGCCGCGCAAGATGGCAGGGGAAAGGTTATGGGGAAGGGGCAGGGAGGGGAGGACGGCGGGGCACCGCGGAGGAGCAGGAACCGGGTCAGGGAGGGGGTAGGTGGCAGGGCCGGGGCAGCCCGGGGACCGGGCGGACGCTCCCGGCATCGATCACTTACTGCTTGCCGCACCGAGACGCGCCGCGCAGGAACCGGTGGCTTTGTGCTCCGCCCGCCAGTGGCGTACATCCGGGCACGCCCCGAGCAGAGGGGCGGGACCGGGGTCGGCGCCGAGCTGGTAGAGCCGTACCGTCTGGGCCAGGCTTACGTGGACCACCTGTGTGGGAGCTGGTTCGGGCGAACGTGGCCCAACCGCGGCACACCCTGCCCGAGCGGCCGCGCGATGCCTGATCCTGCCTGGCTTGTCATGGAGGGCGAGAGAGGAGCGGAGCTGGGTCTGGCTGGGCACAGCATGACATTGAGGAGGATTCATGGTGAATTGGGTGCGTTACAGCTCCCCGCGTGGTCGGAGGGGTTTCCACTGGTCCCTCCTTGTACTTGAGCTCCGGTCTCTTGTAGGCCTGCGGGGAGCCGCAGCAATGGACAGGAGAGTGAGGGCAAGGGAGGAATCTCAGGGGTGGGAAAAACAAGGGAGCGCGCAGTCTCACTTGCAGTTTCGTGCTAGTAAACAACCCCTGGCCCAGCTGGCTTCATCACCACCATGCTGATGCCACCATCTGTTTCTGCACCCTTATTTCTGTTCCGTGCACGTGACCGTGTGGACTACAGATCACGAGCAGGAATGGGGCCTTTGCACACCTCCATGTGCTTGTATCATGGCAGATGCAGCAGGAGGAGTTGCTGAGGAAGATGTGGTGTCTGCAGGCCAGCCAGGGAAAGGATTTGCACTCAAGCACGACTTCCTGGGGTAAGCAGAAGGCTGGCTCTTATAAATGGTTTTGAATATTATAGAATCAGCCATGTTGGAAAAGACCTTTAAGATCATCAAGTCCAACCATTACCCCAGCACTGCCAAGGCCACCACTGAAAGATGTCATTGAGGGCCACATATACATGTTTTTTGAACACTTCCAGGAACAATGATTCAACCACTTTCCTGGGAAGCCTGTTCCAATGCCTGACCACCCTGTCTGTGGAGAAAGTTTTCCTAGTCTCCAGTCTAAATATACCAGGCACGGCTTGAGTCTGTTTCCTCTTGTCCTATCACTTGTTGCTTGGGAAAAGAGACCAGCCACCTCCTGGCGCCATCCTCCTTTCAGGTAGTTGTAGAGAGCGACAAGGTTGCCCCTGAGCCTTCTCCAGACTAAACAACACCAGTTCCTCAGTTGTTCCTCATCAGACTTGTGCCCCCGGTCCTTCACCAGCTCCATCGCCCTTCTCTGGATCTGCTCCAGCACCTCAATGTCTCCCTTGTAGTGAGGGGCCCAGAACTGAGCACAGGATTTGAGGTGTGGCCTCACCAGTGCCCAGTACAGGGGGATCATCACTGCCTGATGGCCACTCTGATGCTGATACAGGCCAGGATGCTCTTGGCCTTCTTGGCTGCCTGGGCACAAACTGGCTCATGTTCAGTTCTGTCAATCCGCAGCCCAGGTCCTTTTCCATGACCAGCTTTGCAGCTGCTCTTTCCCAAGCCTGGAGTGTTGGATGCAGTTGTTGTGGACCAAGTGTAGGATCCAGCACTTTGCCTTGTTAAACCTTGTAATACTGGCCACAGCCCATCAATCCAGCTTGTCCAGATCCCTCTGCAGAGCATTCCTGTCCTCCAGCAGATAGTTTCATAAAAAATATCCTGTAGTTTGAATTTCTGCACAGGACTCCTTTACCTGCTGCTATGATGGTGGCAGTTGAAAGGTTCTTCTGTGCAGCTTACTGCACAAGATGAATAAAAATGGATGTAAATAAAAACTTCTAAGGGTACTAAAGTCAACATCTGAGGTAAAATTTTTTTCTGTGTAAAAGCAGACATCTTGTTTCAGGAACAAAATCCAGATGGTTGCTAGAAATTCTCAGTAATGCCCTAGTACTCATGTGGAGTCTATTCAGAAGTTTAACATGTTTTCTTTTTATTGTTTTGATTTCTTGTTCCAATACAATGACTAGGAAAAATGAGCAGTTTTCACATAAACAGCAACTAATTGTTTAATGCACCATGGATTTCCAATAGCTGTTTTTTCCCTTTTTCTCTTGAAAGCAAACCTCTATAGAGAAATGGAAATTTAGTGTTTAGTTACTATGTCATGATGATGATAGGTAATTTGGTAAAAATAATTCTATGGAAATCTTCTTGGGTTTAGCAAGAACTGCTCTTGTTATTCACTTTATCAAATCATAGAATCATAGAATAGTTAAGGTTGAAACGGACATCAGAGGTGATCAGTTCTAACCTCCCTGCCATGGCCAGGGACACCTTCCACTAGACCAGGTTGCTCCAAGCCCTCTCCAGCCTGGCCTTGAACACTGCTAGCTTGAACACTGAACATCCCCGCCAGGGATGGGGCAGCCACAGCTTCTCTGGTCAACCTGTGCCAGGGCCTCATCACCCTCACAGTGAAGAAATACTGCCTAAAATCTCATCTCAGTCTCTCCTCTGTCAGGTTAAAACCATTCCTCCTTATGCAGTCACTATAGCCCTTGTAATAGCCCTTGTAAAAGCCAGCACTATGTACCCTTGTAAAAGGCTGTCTCCAGATTTCTTGTAGGCCCCCTTCAGGTACTGGAAGTCTCTTAAAAGGTCTTGATGCAGTGCTGGAGAGGACTGTGTTTTGCTCAGTGGCCCAGCTGCAGTTGCCACTGGCCCTAGCCTAGTTCATGCTGTGTGGAGCAGAGCTCGCTGACAGGCATCTCTTCTGTGATTAGGAATGCAGTGACAGCAAAGGCCTTGGAAGATAGAGGCATTGGTTGGCCGTGGAGACCCCAGAGACCAGGAATGATAGTGCACCCGTGGTCACTTGCCAGTCTTTGGAAAAGCACAAACTCAAAAGCTGGAAAGCCTGCTCTGGCTTTGTGGGAAGGAGCAACAGCTAAGCAGGGGAAGAAATATGTCAAGCGGCCACAGGTCCCATGGAGGCAGCCCTCTGCCTGTCAGCACCCTGCAGCAGCCACTGCCCACAGCCTGTGCATGGACATGGTCCCGGGCTACTGTGAAGCAGAAGATGCCCAGCTTGGCTCTAGGCTTGAATCCAGGAGTGGCCTGCTCACTTCTGCTGCTGCAGCCAGACCTGGCAAGCGCCGTCCCTGCTGCCTCCTGCACTCACAAGACTGTGAAGGGCTGCCTGCCTTGAACACAGTGGTTCAGCACCAGCTACAAGCATAAGGGTGATATTAATGAGTATATGCTGCTAATGAACATCAGTCATGTTCTGAAGTTCAAACTAGCCTGATTTTTTGTTCTGAATGCCCTCATCACAGTGATCTCCAATTCCCTTGTACACACACCCATATGTGCATCCAGTTGCAGCGCTGCTCCTCTTGCTTGTGCAAAAGCCATCTGACCTCACATAGCAGCAGGTGGCTGCTTCTTCCTGACCCTTAGTGGAAACCCCAGCATGCTCTGAGGGTGCATTGTCACTACTCTGTAACACCAGGTGCCCAAGTCTTCTGTTCTGCTTGCTGCCCAGCACAGCCTTAGGTTTGGTAGTGATTGCCCTTGCTGGCATGCAACACACAGGAGGGGTACACCTGCAGGACAAAGCTCCTCTAGCCAGCTCCATGACCTCCATACAAAGGTGTGTACACAGCATAGAAAGCCCCTTACTTGGGAAAAGTTGTCCCATTTAATGTTGTGAAACAAGCTCCTATATGAGCCTGCATAGCATGCTTCTGTTCTCATGAGCATAACAAGCCTGATGGGCTACAGCAGCTAGTAACAGGGAGTCTTGCAGGGCACCAGAGAAGTGGGAGAGGCGAGCAGGAACAAGCAAGTGGATACAGGGAGCCATGGGAGACACAAGACAGACAATCTGCTGCAGAAACAGTTGTGTGCCTGGTAACCCTGCAGCTGTGGAGAACCTCCTGCATCCTGCCCTGAGACCTGTGCCTGCACAGCTCCCTTGAGGCCAGCAGCACTGCTGACCCTGCATGAAGGGTACATGGGCGCATGTACATGTTGGCTACAGAAGTGCCTCTCGAAGGGCAAAATGATCTGATTCTCTGATCTTCTAGGCTTTGATCTTGTAGGTCAAGAAAGAAGTGAACAAAAAACGATGCACAAGTATGAAGGTTTTGCCTTCTAGCACAGAGCAAGCATACTCTGGCAAGAGTCAAACACAGCTGTGACACTTAATACTTGCAACAGGTACTTTGATCTAATCGTGGTACCATTCAAAACAAAAAATGTTTTTACTGTCTCTGGATATCACGAAACTTTCTCAAGTGTATCATATAATTAATTGTTGTAGAACACATGCAGTTAGTATGATTAAAGGATGAACTAGAATTGAAAAATGTTACACAACTGTTAGGGCTCTGAGGATTGTATTGACCTGGAGCTCCGTCTGACCACAGTTCTGTTCAGCAGGCCTGGTCCTGACCTCTACCTGCAGGCTGCCATCCAGTCCCAGCCTTGGCTTGACACAGTTCCCATGGATATGCCTGGGACTGGGGCTGTCCCCATGACCCCCACTTATCCTGCTCCTGGCTGGGGTGGTGGGGTGAACACTGGCCACCAGGCCTGCCCTGCCAGCCTCTGCTGGGACACCAAATTAAATGGTGTAAAATACAAGTTTGAAGGAAGACCTCAGTACCTTTCCTCACAGTATTTCCAGAAAAGAAAATTCCGTATTTCTGGAATAAGCAGCAGAAAGATTCAAGGATTTGGGTTTAGCATTGACTACAGCAGTATTTTATGCTTGCAAGAGCTCATTCTTGCCAAATTTGACCTTGAAAGGAAGTTTCCTTTTGATGGTGTCATTGTGGAAAGTCAGGAAGGGCTTATGATGCATCCTACTCACAGTCACCTGTACCCACAGATTGCTTTCCTGCAGCACACTGGGGCCA